GTTGATGGCACCGCCAAAAGTAAGGTTTTCCAAGACAAAATGAATTCTCAGGATTTGAACCGAAGAATATTTTCTTCGTTTGTTTTAATGAGAAATTTGGTAGAAAATTAATTTTTGTAAATGTTGAGGATCGCTTATTGGCGGATATCATTTTGTCGCACAGTGACTGCATTGTGAATTACATCCAGCATGATTCATTATTTAAGAATTTGGAAGAAGAAAAACTTACGGAGCAGGTGAATTTATTATTTACTTTATTGACCATATTTTCTTGTTTTATATCTAGTTTTCTCCAAAAAAAAAATTTTCATTTTTATTCAATTCATAGATTTGAGAAACATACTGAACTTGTTTTTCTTTGTTTTTTTCAAGCCTTTTTTTCAGGCAATTTTTTTAGTATGAAGTGGATCATTTACATGATTTATATGTTTTAGACCGAAATTGATTAACCTCACTAATCAGTTCTAAACCAAAACTTAGGATTTTGTGAGATATTTTTGTCTTAAAGCTGAGGAAGAATCAAAAAAAGTACAAGACAAAGCAGGAAAACTGTTATCACCAGAAAACATATGATTTCTTTCACATCTCTTTGACTACAAAGGAATGATCTGGAATCTTATCATTGGCTTTAGACAATCTTTTCTATATACTCTTCATGACGGTTAACTCGTCTTTCATTTATCAAAATTTTATTACTTGCTTTTCTTCATTCATTTTCTCATTACTTAACATCATAAGTTCATTTAATTTCCGTTGTAATAGGTATTGTGACATCGACCCGAAACACAAATAAGGAATTTTTGTTGTAAGTTTGAAATCATTCCAGGAATGTAAGGAAGCTTGGGAAGATTACGAACGAGAGAAAGTAAATCCAAGTAGAGGAATATATGGTAATTTCATGGAGGAAAGACAAGCAAACATAGTTCAGTTTCGTGATCAAGGTTAGATGTTAAGCAAGAATTAAATTTATAACATATTGTCTATAAATTCCAGGTTGAGCGATTAATTTATCTCTTAAATGAAAAGGTAAACGATTAATATCGTTACAATGGGAAAAATAGTCTATTATTGTCAACTTCTAAATGATCATTTGCGAAGTGTTGCTTTATATTCGCAAACGAATTTTCTCACTTACCATTGATCATTTAACTTCACCGTCTACATTTAAATTGAAGAATGTAGTGATGATATAATAATCATGCTGTTTACCGATGCTTAATTTCTTGTTCCAGTGCAATTGCTCTTTTGCATAGTACACTTCATTAGCTCGTTTCAATCTTGGATAAGAGAGTAAATACATGATAGAATCTCTCTGCAGATTGTTTTTAACGGTAGCTGGAGTGCTCCTTGATCAAGCTCTCACTTTCTTGATTTGAAATGTTTGTTTCAGCTAGTGAAGCTTTGCAACCGATTTTTGCTGATCCAGTTTATATGGCAGCATTTCAGCTGAGAGCCATGGATAGTGATACAGCTCAGAAAGTCACTTTCATTAAAAGGTTTATCTTTTGCGCGTCATGATTTAAAACGCATCTTATCAAGTCAAAATTAGCAGTGTGGATTTTTGTGGAAGTTTATTGTTGTATTTCGGAGTAAGATTCATTGTATTGCAACTTTCTCAGGGAAAAAGTTAAAATTTTATTTAAATGCTGCAGTTTTATAGTTATCTTATAATTTGTTTAATAATTTCGTGTTTCGTTAAAACAAAACGTAAATATTCTTATGTTTTGCACGCCTTATCGAATATAACTTCGGTAATCAGCGCTAAAATATTTTAGAAGTTTGGATGCATTATTGCCAAAGATTCCAGTACAATTGCGTGGCGGGATGAACGAATTTACGACTTATTTTTTGGCTATGATAAACGTTAGTTCATTTACAATTTATGATGAAGAACAAAGAAGTGTCTATTTCAAGTCTGCTTTAGCAAAGGTGTTGTTAGGTCTATTGATAAAGACAAGGAAAAACATAACTGTTTTATTCAGATCTCAAGATGATAGTATTTTACTTATTAAAAACAGAAATATTGATTGGGAAAAGCTACAGTGGAAAAGGATGAGTCTTTTATATAATCTGGGGTGCACTGATTTCTCCTTAATATTGAAGCAGTACATGAAGGATTAGGCAGTCTTGGGGCAATTCTCGTTTTTCTCTAAATTAAACAAACTGAAGTGGAAATTGAATGTGGCATGGAACTTGTTCATTGATGTCAGTATAGATATAGGGAAAATGTTCCTTTTTTTGAACTACAGCTCTTAAAGATTTACTACATTAAATGCAAAAGTTATTTTTTCCTTAAAAATGAGGCTATGATCTTATGATTTCATTATTTTTTCCACCTGATTGTTGGTAAGCGTCAGATTTATATTACAGGAAGGGTTAAAAACTGCCGAAAGTGGGGCTTGGTTATACAGTAAAACAGTTAGCATTTTCCGGACGGTTGTTTCGATGGTGAAAAGTGAGCCGCATTGTGTACCTATACTTCAGTATCTTTATCGTACTGCGCCACAGATATTTGATCCAAATGAATCTAGTGCTCTTTATATGTAATTTCCTATTATTGCTTTCAGATCTCTTATTTTGCATAAGCATGGTGTTCCTACTTTTTTTTAAACTTTGTACATATTTTATTATTGTCTTAATCGGAATACTCACATCATACTGCAATTTTCCGTCAATTCATAACTTATTGTAAAACGATCTTGAAAATGACCCAAGAAAAAAAGATAGTAAAATAGAAAGAGAAAATTTGACTTTCATCATTTGATTGTTTAAAATAGCTCGTAATGCGGTGGAAAATCTGGCAGCAAAGGCGCGTTAGAGATGTTGGTAAGCGTTGGATTTTTGTTACTGGAAGGATTGAAAGCTGCTGAAAGGTTCTTGGTTATACAGTAAAACAGTCAACACTTTTCGAACGGTTGTTTCAATGGTGAAAAATGAGCCGCAGTCTATGCCTATACTTCATCTGAGGGCACCGAGTTCTTTATAATTATTTGCTTCTTGTTTGCCTTTAGTTGATTTTATGAATCTCTTCACTGAATCATTTCATTGTATCCACGTCTTAATTGTCGGCCTTATTAGATGGACTTTCGGCGCTAATAGGCCTCAGCATTTAAGGTCATTTGTGGATCAGTGCGATAATTGGTGAAAAATAATATTATGCTATTTATCAGGGTAAGCAGGTCTTCGGCTAAAGCTTGTCGCTAATTTTTTTCACTTCTTTATGTGAAGCGCACAAACACTCCTAATAGCATTGACTACGCGGAGGAGCGCTTTTTTAGTTTATTCTCGATCATTTTCTTCCGTTGAACAAATGAAATTCCGATGGATCCATATATTTTTTTAATCCGATTGAAAAACTTCACGTATATATTTTAATATTCTTGTTTCTAAGTATGTATGTCCTTCAGCAAGGCCCTCTATGTCATTTGTTTATTTTCCTCGATATTTATTTTTACTTAAGAAGTAAATATTACAGAAAAAGGAGGTAAAGTAAAGATTGGCATATCCCATTCTATTACAATCGAAATATATTGGATTGGCGAAATATATGCGAACATATCAAATTCGGAATTTGGGAAATTTGCATTTTATAAAAAGAACACTGGAAGCAGCCACCTTTGCCATTTTCGTCGAAATTAAAAAATAGTAATGGGTAATGATTCAGAAGTAGATCACAAAGGGAAAACGGAAAATGAAGTACATTTCTTATGGCACAGTATAAAAAATTAGATGGGGACCATTCTACTGGTTAAGAGATACCATCAAAGTATCCTTTGATGCTATCTCATAAGCTAACTAATTCAAGTAGTGGCATTTGGTAGGGATTCCATCCCCATTGAGTAAGGAAGACAACTGAGTATCCGTTTGGAAATCCTAAAGATTTTTCATAATATGTTGGATAAGTATCCAGTAATTGGGAATACGGGTTTTATATCATTCGGAATAGGTAGTCGATTACGATGACGAGTTTTTAGACGTTTTCAAAGGGGTTAGTGTACAATCACAACATTTACAGAATTGGCATTAAATACAATTATTTACAACAAAACAGTATGGTAATGAAGAAGAGAAATTTAGTAGCAAAATAACTTTGGCAGTTTGAGATATACCCTTGGCACGACGACTGATGCTTATTCTGTTTATGGTCGATTCTGAAGTACCAATTATAAGTTACAAATGGAAGGCAAGAACTGCAGGCAATAGTTATGGATTAAACTTTTAATTAATTTCGAATACAACTTAGTAGCTAATTTTAATTTTACCTCATTGAAAACTTCTGGTTCTGCAAGCGGAGCTTGCGGGAGAAGGACGTAACCGGGTGTATCGCTTGAATATCTCCGTTTAGCTGATGGTGACGACATCTTAATAACTTCATAAGGCAAAGGAGATGATATTGCGTTTTTCAGCTTCTGTAATTAGAATAATAACCAATGCCATTAAAAACTGGACTTGAATTAAGCAGAAAAATGTGAAGCTTTTTCCCAATCACTAAAATCAGACACGGAAAAACTTAGACAAAAAAACACTGAACTTTTCTATAACGAAAAATTTCATAACTGATACATTTTCGAAACTAAAAATTTCAGCATTTACCTGCCATTTCGTTATTCCAGGTCCTTTGATACATGTTCTGAAAATCCGAAACTGTATAAACAACGGAATTGGTAGCAACGGTACTAACGCTATTGTCCATCCAAGCACTTCCGAATACTTCCACTCATGGATTCCGGAAGAATAGGTCGAATAATCATAATCAATCAAATTCAGAATGGCTATTGCCTGAAGAATAGTCTTACATTTTTCCACTCAAATTACACATATTCACTGCCAATCAAAAATTTGAAATCCGAAAATTATTCCAGTCGACTCCTAAGAGTTATCACTTTATCAATATTGATCATGTTATGCAATGAAAAATCTGAGATTAATGATTGATTTCACATTTGAATAGCTCGCAAAACAGATTTGAAGAGACACCAGAGGGAAGGAAATTGGCGCACTATATAGCAAGAAAAGATAAGTGCTCGATAAACCAGCGTAATCATTTTAGCCTAAAAATTCAATAACTTACCACAGGAACAGCTGGAAGAAGGTATATGAAATAAAGAACAAAATGTCCAACACACCAACAGTATGTTCGTCGCAGCATCGTATGCAAATCATTACCAAGACGATGTGCGCCTATAATGTATCGATGATTAATGTTTGATCTCGCTGCACTTACACCATGTCTTTCTTTAATTGCAACATTTCCACTATGTTGAAGGTGAAACTATCACATGGCATGGTATTTTGGTCTTAATTCTACACTAATCTAATCTTGTCACAATATTTTTCAATTCATTTCACTTCAAAATCTTCCTTAGGAATGAAGATAGAACAGTTGGTTTTGTCAAATTTGACTAACACATGCACTACTTTATCCTTAAAATCCTTCATCTTTGTTAAATATCTAATCTACAGTTTGTAATAGACAAAAACAGACAAATAAATTTCCTAAGTATTTTTGTTTCTGATAAATGTTTCCTAAAAGAGAGATTTTGAAGACTTACAATAGAACCACCCAACTGCTAGCATTTCAAAGAAGAGTATAATCCACAAGGTCACATATCTCAAATAGCCACCAACTAGTTCATATGCATAACGACCGCCCTGAAAAAAAGCATTAACAAAAAGCATAGCAAAATTAACAAAAATCTCTGTATTCATGAAGAAAAATATTGTTTAAAATTTTAATTTAGGGAATTAGGAACTCTTTGTTAATGCCTTTTAACAAAGAGTTTCTAAGTTAATGCTTTTTAACAAAGAGTTTCTAAGTTCCCTAAAAATAATTACTATTGTCAATCATTTCCCCTGCTTTATAAATAAGAAAAAATAATAAATAATAATAATCAATAATTTAATAATAAATAATTGATAATAGTAATTAATAATTAACATTAATAATTAATAGTAATAATAATTAATAATAACTGATGATTAGTAATAGTTAATAATAATAAATAATCAATAGCAATAATAAAAATGCCGATCCTAAATTTTACTGGACCACTCTGAGTTCTGATATAATTGAAACAATTGTATAAAGTTTTGAAATTTTTCTTTCCTTTTCATACTCTAGTGAAAAAGTCAGTAATATACGTTTAAATTAGTTTAGGTGAACAAAAATAAATTCTACGACCATTATTTTAAAAATAGAAAATGAAAAATAGTTAGTTACTACCACCAAATCCGAAATATTATCAAATATGCTTGAGACGGTCATTTAAACTACTCACAATTCATTTGTGTCGATTTCGGACTATATAACACGAAAAAGAAAGAAATAGAAGTATCAGACGTCTATTAAATGAAAAATTAGATTGAAAATTTTTTGATGAAATGACCTCCTTACTTATCCTCCTTACCTGTGTAGCAAAATAAAAGCTGGCGGCAAAAGCAACGCAACAGATGAAGAGATCAAGTACAAACCGCGGAAAACAACGGGACGATTTCTCACCGAGTGCATCTTCAAACGTCGCCAGTATGTTCAAAGTGAGAAGATACTGAAAGTAACATATGTTACTTCTTTTAGTCATTAGCAAATCCATATAACTTGAAGTCAACTCGATTTCCCAAAACTGGCATGACTAAAAATCCGATATTGAATCTGAATCATGAGACTGCGGCAACTTAAGAGAAAATAGCAACAGAAACTTGCAAAAATGTTGAGTAAGACGAAAATGCACATAAACAGAAGAATTGCAGTCCATGTCCGTATGTCCGGTACATATGACATATATGCAAGGATATGCCACATTTGCGCTTCTCCTGTAAAATTTCACTTCTACAATAGTATTTTGTTAAAAATCTCTGCAGAATGGATTGAAATTTAAAGCTCAAAGAACACTGAAAGCTTTATGATAATAATCGATTCAATAGTAGTAATTTTTATATTCTTTCGCAAATTCAATCCAAAAAACTAAATTAAAAAAATGAGAGTGAAGTAAACCTCGATCAAGAAGCTCGACTGGTTGCAATCCAAGTCGAGAACTTAAATGCCCAAGAAATCCAAGTATTATAAGTGTCTGTATCAGAGTCAACAAAATATGACCAAACAGGATTATCCATGCGTCACTATAAAATACTAATTTTGAAATTTCAATTTCGAATTTCGATTCTATAAATCGAAAGAAAATACAAAGTTAGATATCAATCATTTCAAAATAACACAAAGTGCAGTTTAATTTTTTAAAACTAATTTAATCAAAGTTAAAAGGTTAAGAAAGTAAGAAAATAAAGTATGCAGATTATACAAGTATTGGCCAAATAAGAGTACATAAAGAGGTGAAAAAAACGTAATGTGTAAAACAAGTAAAATAGTAGCTATAATATTGATTTCTATTTGTACAAAGAAAAAATGTCACAGCAAACAAAAATATGATGTTACCAGTGAAAAATTTCTCAAAGGTGGAGAATGAAAAGACAAGTTCAGCCAAACTTGAAAAAGAAGACTAGTTTATCGCTACATACCCAACAAGGTTGTTTGTCCGTTTGTTATATGATGCAATCGTAATAAAAGACCCGAAACCAATTCCGGTAGCAAAAACCGCCTGCTCAATTGCCGTCTTCCACATCTTTAATGTAAAGACTGATTAATAAAGCGAAAAAAAAGCAACAGAATGATAAAATATACATATAAGAGATTAACTGTCTTAATACTGTAAACGTTTCCTTCACTTCAGTGATTCTTACATGTTAAAATGACATGGATTAACGGTAAGAGATGTAACATTTTCACTAATAATTACCACTCATAACGTGATGTACTAAGATGCAAAGACCTCCAATTATTCTTCCGAATGATATTTGGACTCTAAAGTATCTCATCTTGAATACAGTTTCATTAATTAGTGTCCAGCGTAATATTTGATAGTAATAAACTAAAATTCCAAAATCCTCTCGTACTTGTAATAACCTTCAGATACTAAAAACTTTTTTCCATTTTAGAATTTGAAAAGAAAAAATAAAACTGCAAAAATTCACGAGATAATCAGTCATTCGTTGCCAGTCGGTGCTTTCATAAAATTTCAACAGTATTTCAGGAAGACCTTGAAGTGTTAAAGAACGTACTAGAAGTAAACACAGTAGAACGACAGGCATGATGAAGGTGAAATGTACAACCTGAAATAATTTCACAGTTACTCATACTTAATGAAAAATTCGACATTCCTCCAATGCAATAAATATTTCATGGTATTTTTTGTTGGTAAAAACTTTTGCAATAGTCAATAACTTTTAACCCTTATTTTAAATACAATATTTCTATCAGTATGCAAGGCTCGCTTGACATTTCAACATATAATGTCTTAAGTTCTTAGGAGAAGTTCTTTTAAGGCACGAAGAAATTATTACAAAACAAATTACCAAAACTGCAAGTTGCATAAACCAGATAAGTTGGTTAGTCAGTGAATATCCACATTTTAGCACAGAAAAACTTGTAATTCAAAAAAAATATTAACAATAACTACAAAAATTTAATTCTCATTTACTAATAGATATCAGAAGGGAAGATAACAACTATTCTTCTTCTATAACAATTAAGATCACATCACAAAATTATCTATCGCAGAAGCACGAATACACAAAATTAAGTTTACTATTATTTTAATAATGAAGAAAAATTTTAAGTATAATATAAAATTCTTACCTTTCCTAGCCAACGGACACCGAAACAAGTGGCTAGAAAGACCAATAGCCAAACAACTCCCATAGAAGCAAAAATGTAATATTGCAAATGGCCTGTTTCAGCAATGTTACTCGATGGTCGTTCCAACATTCTGCAAATTCGCAAATGAATTCATTTCAATTAACCAAACATAAAAAGAGTGATGAATTTCAGAAAGGAAGCGTACGTCATGAACTGAACAAGTGATGATTGGGCACTTAATGTATTTAGTTTTGTCACACTAGCATGCGTAAAATTTGCCACGGAGCCCGCTTCCTCGCACGGTAATGTCTGAATCTCGGGAAAACTCCTACAGTGCAACCATGGTAAGCCTGCAAAAACAACGCATAGAAAGTTTATAAAAACAAGTTAATTTGGATCAAAATTTTAATTCAATAAAAAAATGGTGGCAAATGCAGGTGAATATTGACCTGGTCGTCCAGCTAATATAGCCCAGAAGAGATGGAATAGGTAAAGCAAAAGCCACGCCAAGTACCGTGTCATATGTGCCAATACGAATAAAGAAAAGATTACTTGGGCAACACCAACGCCTGGAACAACACTTATTGTAAGTAAAGATGTCAATTGAAAGATATTTTGATGCATTAATTATGATGAATGGATGATAAGCAATGATTTTTTAATAGGACAGAAAGATAAAAATCAATAACTGATTGCATGCCAACATCACAAAGGTCATGATTTTCAAATGAAATCCGACTGTCTTATGGATAACTGACCAGATTACTTTCATTGAACGTTTTTGACGAATATTCAATAAAATCCGGGAAAAAAGACTTTTTGCTGTGATCGAAACATTATGGCAAGCAGTTGCGATCTATCATTTAACTATAAAATTGTTGAGATTGGGATTGATCCAAGATTGAACGGATCAATAGAATAGTAGTGCGCAGCAACCATCGACATATCACTATTTGTTTGTTCGGCATTGCAAACATCGTAATTCAAATCACGTCAGGAATGCAACTATGATATTCTGCCGTTATGGAAAGCATAAGAGAATGTGAGGAGGAAAAACAAATCCTTGTCATACTTACCTTTAAAAAGCGGACATATGTTGTAAAGTGCTTCGACAGGTGCTCGTCCAGTAAGCTGTCCAATCGAAAATTCCATTACAATAACTGGCAAAACACAAACAAGTAATGATGTACCATAAGCCGCGATAAATGCTACTGAAATGAATCAAAAACCACTACTCACTTTATTATACCTACATTACTATACATACTCACGCAATATTTACTTTCTTTTCTTACTTGTACGACAGTTATCACACTGAAATTTAAATCGAGTAGTTGCCTTTTGCTTACATTTCTATAAATTAATTCATATTTCACCTTATTATACTTACATCCATACATTTCATTATTTTTCTTGCTGAGACATTTTGCGACATTTCAGCAATAATTTATTTATATTTATCAGTCACTTCGTTTGCTCGTAAATGTAATATTTATCTGACGATATTATCAACACAGATCAATAACTTTTCGATCCAATTCCTTTATGCAAACAATGTCTGTTCAAAACTCTTACTCACTTCTCATGAAAATCGAACTTACATCCGCCATTCTGGAGTATTAGACCGGGCAAGTTGAGAAAATTGGTAGTTGCGAAAACGTACGCAAGCGATGCGACAATCATATCAATTTTAATGGGCCAGAGATCACGCAACTCCTCTACAAGCGTCGATGACATCTTTAGATTAGACCAACTTCGTTCCTCAAACCACATTTTTATCTCTTCTTTGACCTGTAAAAATATGAAAATTTTGCATATTAACAAATGGATTGTCTCTTACTCGAGGATGATTTGTTAAAAAACAAAGTGACACTTTCCCAAATTTACATATTATTTAAAATTGATGTCAATTAAGGGAAAAACTACTAAATGTACGAAGAGACAAAATGCAATTATGCATAAATATATGTGATTATAGCGAAAAATCTGTAAATCAACAAACGGGTGGAGGAAAGAATTCACACTTACAGGTAAAAAAGCAATAAAAAGTTACGTAAGCAATAAATGACGGGGCTCAATCGGTCAAACAGGAATCAGAATCAAATTAAGGAATTAATAGAGGTTGAGCGATTAATTTGCCTCTTAAATGAAAAGGTAAACGATTAAAAAATAACAGAATGGAACTTAAGCTATTTAAATTTTTGATGATATATATTTCAACCATAAATTTATGGAAACGAAAAATTTATTCCATATGTTGAAGAATCCCATAACACTTATAAATATTTAAAACTTAAAAATCAAATTTCATTAACTTTGAAGCATTCACTATAAGATTGGGAACATGAGACAAAAATGTTACAAAAATGGAAATCTGGCAATTATTCTTGAGAACTACATAGTTCAAGAAACTGCTCATTCCGTTACTAATTTAACTATAATCATATCTACGTATCATTCACCTACTCTTCAAACATTTGTCATATGACTGACTACTTACCCAACCAGACGATGGTCACCACCTGTAAACTTAACCAACTGTCAGAACTTATTCTAAGCCTTTTACATCCACATTCACATTATCCTTCCTCCTATCATCTCTTCCAAAATAATATCTTGGAATGTTTCAAGAGGAATTGGCAAGAAAATAGTGATTTAATAGAGATGGGATAGGTTGGGAATGAAAAGTAAAGTAGTTAAAAAAAATTAAAAATAGAATTCCGATAAGGAACGAAAAACAGGATTGATGAAGTGACGGAGAGAGAAAGAAGTATGAACCGTGAAGACGACGACATTTTCGTACACTTCGAGAGTGTGGCATTAAGGAAGCACCATTGGAAGATTCCTTCCTACTCCCACTTCTTTTCTCTTCAAATTACACTTATTACAAATGAAGAAAAAAAGAACGATCATTTAATCTATAAAAGAATGCTCTCGAACACACTCTCTTCCTACGCCTTCTCTCTTGGTTTAAATGATCTCTGAAGAAGAAAGTGAGACTAAATCGAACGATTACCAATTTATGTTCAAATTAACATTGGGAATAAATGATAGTATTGATCTTTTCCTTTCCCTTTCTCTTTGAGAACATGTGCGGGAATGAGCTATTTGGAGAGTGATATCACAGGAAGTAGTAATAAGGTTGCCTTGAGAATAAATGGATGGACAGTGGTCAGCAGGTCAATATCGCGCAATGCAATTTAACACAAGAATGAGATCTGTGATGAGGAATGACTTCTTGATAGGAATGAAACATAGGATGGAATACAGTTCGCTAGTTGCGGACATTACTCGCTTGTTCTATGAGTAATTTAGATTCTTACATTTTTTAGAAATGGGAAACTTTCTGAAAATTGCTATCTGAAATTTGAATTTACGGTAGTTTTAAAAAGGAAATTTCAGGAAAAATGCGAAAATATGAATGAATTGTTCTATTGTTCTTCGACGGTTTTTTCGTTAATAAAAATGATTATCATTATTAAAAAAGTAATAATTTTAATCTCTTGTTCAAGCAATCCTTCCGCCTCAGTTTGTACCTTTGTGAAACAATCACAGGTAGAAGGAAAAGGTCATCAAATAGCATGCTGCCTAATCCTTACAATAGAAATTAATGAAAGGTGCGATATTAATGGATAGAAATTAATATAATGAAATTAATGAAAAGAACTTCACCTTTCATTAATTTCTATTGTACGGATTAGGCGGTACAGAAGATTACGCGGCACAGAAGAATTAAAAAAATTCGAGTAAAAATGATAAGCTAACTGTCCTAGCAACTGCACCTGGAAACCTGAAAAGGTCCAACTTTACTGTTCAATTAATGATTATAATAATTAAATAAATATCCAAATTAAGGAATCAGCAAATTCTGCAATTCCCCATTCATTACAATTTTATAACTTTTGCACATAAATCTTAAAAATTTATGAAATGAAATATAATAATGATACGATGTGCAAGTGTTAAGTGCACAAAGCAATAAGCAATAAGAAAAAATGGAAATGAGAGATAGAAGGAGAGAAGAAAATGAATTAAATGTGATGATACTCTTTCAGCTATTCGTCAATCGGAGGACATTTGCATCATTTAATGGAAAGAAGGACGAATTAGAAAAGGAATTAATCATAAGTGAGTGGTCATCATCAATTACTGCATCAAATAGGCAAGGCACGATACGAGGCGCAAAATAGGAATGGCGCAAAAAAAAAGAACGAACTTTTTTTTGGTAATGTGAAAAAGCCTATTCCTATATAAAGATTTATGGAAGATGAAGAATTAAAGTTTGTAATTTTTTTCTTTTCAACAGAAAGGTTGGACGAATATGAAAAGATGAGATTAAAAGTTGGGAGAGAGAGAGAGAGAGAGAGAGCATCATTTTTTCCTTCTTCTCAAATATCACCCGAAACAAATTCTTGCGAATTGCATCCTTTGGTTCTTCATGTTGCTAATCTTCTTACCTCCGCCGACCAAAAACTGTTAAGTGATAGATAATACAACCATAGATACTTTGAGTTGAAAGGGTAGATTTTATTTTGAAGCATTAAGATGGATAAACAGATGAGAGTCACCAACAACTAATATTCAACAGTTGTTTATATGTGAACAATATTGCGCCCATCTTTGTACAAAGTATTTGGTTACATAAAAACTTATGCGCATATTACCATCTTCACGCACATTCGGAAAACTTTAGGAAGTGTTCAAAGAAATCTAATGACCGAACATTGATCACTTATAATGGTATTCTTCTTCTGCTCTGATGAGATATAAGAAAAGAAGATGGATTCAAGTTTCCGCATTTTTAAAATATAACGATTATGCACAAGATAAACTGAATTCCTGTATAGAATTAGTACACGAATAAGTGAATGAGTTAAATTATTCATTCCTATCATCCAATATGTTGTATAATTTCATCTGTTTATTCACTAAAAGTGTGACACGAATTCGGGAACAAAATGAAATAATATTGCTGTGCATAACAAAATTAAGATTTTAAGGAAAATTTGATAAGTAAATTAATATGGAGGAATAAGGCTGATATATAATTCTTCGACAGCATCAAATGAGGAAGAAAATAAAAAGCATAGTGAATTTGCAACTACCGATGAAAATTTCAATGAAATTTTTCGAATTAAGAAAATAAATTAAGGGTGAAAGAATGGAAGAATCATGGTCACACGGTAAATACTGAAGTACCATTTGAAATTTATTGACCTTGGAAATTTCAAGGATAAATGAACGATAAAGCGCTCTTATTCAAATTACAGAGATTAGAGAGAGAGTGCATTAACAATTTGAAATTCAAACTTTAAGCTGAGTTGAGAACACCCCATGAAGTCTCTGTTATTAATGATGATTAAATATGAGAATATTAATAAACTGATAAGTGGCTACGTCATGATGACAGCAAAATGTCATTGCGAAGAATAGACTTAAGGAAAAATCTAAAAACAAATAAAATTTTTACCGCAGCAGCCTCTTCCGGCTCCCGCAATCTTCATGCTTTTGGCGCGATCCATACTTTCGTGAATTTGTTTTGGCCTCAAACAGCCATAATACCTTAAAAAAGCAGAAGAGAAAAAGACCCAAGAAATGATGAATTATTTACCGGATGACCAATAGCAGTGAAGTGACTAATCAGAAAAATTTGCTTGAAAACAAAGTATTGCAATAATTGCTTATTGGTCCATTTCGTAGCAGGAATAAAACGTTTTTTGAGCTTGCAAATTATTGCTATTAATTATTGGGAATGACAAAGCGGAACTATGGAGGTATGCTCCGAAATGAATTCTCATTTGAAATGAATAATTAACAGTACTTACTGGGTAAGATCTATTATCGGACAAGTTTCAGTTCACATTTCTATAAAACGTAATATTTAGCTAGCAGACCTCATCACCTCTAATTTACCATCACTGTACTCCGTATCATCTAGGATTACTTTAAGTAATCAAATAACCAACTTTCTCTCTTTATAAAAAGCTTATTAGGCTAATGCTAACGCTTGACGCACTTATTTCTCCACCAACAGATATCAAACTAACGGCTTATCATCGCTTTATCCCTCTAAAACAAATGATGTAATTCTACGCAGCGATTCAATAATGAGCGCCTAAACGGACAAAGGAATGGACCGCTCCGTCTTTAACATTTCCGCATCTGATTAAAGAAGAAAACACACACGCACACTAAGAGAGAAGAAATGCCTCCGGTTCCATTCAGTTCAACAAAAACCATTTAAGTAATAAAATATTACAGCGCATGTACTACTGTGGGAACGATCCTTGCTAAATGTGAAGGATAATTCGGGTGGCAAATAGAATGTTCTCATCGATGTGAGAACAGTCAGGAGGGAGTTGAATCTGGCAGAATTGATGTATTTTTGAATGGGCGGTATTTGTAGTGTCGATTTTACAACTTCGTTTCCTACTTCTTCCATAAGTTACATTTCTGGAAATATTCAATTATTGCCAATCCATGAATGACCGCTTGCTTCCCACTGATGTTAACCGTCCCGGAAAAAAACGAAGCGAATTGTATTTCAGATGTGATTACATGAGCATGAAGATGTCACTGCTGCTAATAACAATAATAACTTGGCACCTTGCTACAACTTGTCGTAGAGTGCAACAATTAAGCTTAAGACGCTGAATTTAGTGATGAAGAGACAGTAAGCAGGGCGAAATTACCGTAAGAGATCAATGTCCTGTTGCACCGAATAATCAAATAAACAGTAGGAGGGATTGGTAAGGGTACAGAGAGAAAGGAAA